AACTTGGTCATGGAGGCATCAACATGTAACTGAGATGGTAAATTAACAGTGAAAACTCATCATAGCTTAATTTAACCTCAGTATTCATAATTACACTTCATGTTTACTTCTCCTGATCTTTACCTCCTATAACAAGGTCCATAGGGGCATCTCAATAAATAAACATGTTATATTATATTATATAAGTGTTATTTACTGCTTTTCGTGTTGGAATAAATGTTAAATATTTAACTGCAAAGTAGTAATGCGTGTTTGATACTTTAATTTTTTTGCATTAAATCATACTGGGATGTTTGCTGAAATTGATAGGATGGCCCTACCTAGAAAATTTTCCACCAGCCGCTACTGGTTATTAGTATTATTAGTTACTATTATTAAGTACAGTGATCATGTGAACAGACAAACTTCTCAAAAGTCTCTCCAGCTGTTAAAGCCGACTGACAGCTGATCCAGCTGTGATCAGCTGATCCTCCGTCATCAGAAACAGACGTCGCTTCACGGGACGCAACTGAGGAAAGGACGTCTCATGTATCTTAAAACATATTTCCTCGTTCCTCTCTCCTCGCATGGTTTCCTCCTTGCATCCCTGGTGGGAGGGACTATGACGCAAGGAAACTACCCAAGTGAGGGAAACGGGGATGCAATCAAGAGACTTGAGAAGTACCCAATGTATGTTATCCTTTGTTCTTTTTATGTGTGCCTCTGCCCTTGCTCTCGTGAGGTTATCGTTGACCACGTGCTCATGACGTCAGAGCAAGTCGGGTTCAAGTCGGACACAAATTTAACCAGCATGCATTGTGCTCTGATCGCCGCTGATTGATTCTGCGCAGGCCTGGCTCATCTCGAACGAGCCTTTAGTTTCCACCAGCAGTTAGTGGAGCATGTAACAGAATTGTAACCCTAGTGATTGGATGTGTCATTATGAAATGCACAGGAGTTGAAGTTACTTGTCCTCTGACATTTTTATGCCTTGGACTGTTTATCTAAAAACCTGACACAAATCTTTTGTACCGATGATTCAACCAGGAGAGTTCCAACAGTCACATACCAATGATGACTTTAACATGCACAATATATTATGGTATTTGCCGTTATGCCCAACAGTTAGGTGTGGGTTTTTTCCCGAATACAAATGTGGTCATTTCTTTTGCATCTCTACCTCAGCCTTGTAAAATATCAGCTTGTTTCTTTGTGTACAATACATAGAGCTGACCATCAAAATGCGGTAAAATCTCCAATGGATACGCACATTCTGAATTCACTGTATACATGTCCAAAGAATAGACCCTTTTCACAGCTGCCATTTTGGCATGTCATAGCAGGGTAAACATTGGTGTCATTGATCAAATCAAGTATGGTCCCATTCTATTAGTGTGTCACAGTCATTCCAGTGAGCCAGCATGCACAATCGGCCCTGACCCATCTAAATGGAACAGGGCCACAATTAATGACACCTTGCAATGACATGTCAAAATGGCTGCTGTGAAAAGGGCTTATGCTCCTTCAACCAGAATAATATCAGCATATTCCACATGATTTAATGGAAAATGCTACATTCAGAATAAGGCCTAATTCTGATTCCGGTCTCATACTCGCTCTGTTCAGCTAACTCCGACTTGGAGGTCCTCTGTGGCTCTCAGATCCTTCTGTGTTCCATCTATTTCAATGGATACAACGAGTCACTGCTGGCCCTCAACTCAGAGCACTCCAAACACCAGTGCAAAGGGACTCCTGACTGGACGGCGAACCCGCCTGTTGTCAAATTCAACTTCTCCATCGCAGAGCAGGTGATTGCTTCCTGCTCCAGCCAGCTGGCGGTAGGCTAACTTTAAAAAAAAAAAAAAAAAAAAAAAAAAAAAAAAAAAACACCCAGCAGATGCCTCTCACACAACAGATTCATGTTCCAAATTGTTTTTCCTCAAAGGTCACTGAGGAGGTGGGAACAGGACTGTTTGCAGATTTCTCCAACGTCCAGTACATCACCATCTCAGGCATGATCTGCTCTGACGACCCCATCACAGCAGCCATCACCTATCAGCAAGAGGTGATGTACAGGTTCTCCTGCCGCTACCCACTGGAGTACCTGGTCAACAACACTCAGATCAGCGTGTAAGTAGCACTTTAAAATTGCAAATAGGAGTCAATGTCATATGTAAATTGCTGTTGTTAGCAAATGCAAGGAAACGTATGGATCTCTGCTGTAGCTTTGTTACTCAAAGATGAAATTCTACTGACATTTGGGTTTTGCACTTTCTCCGTAGTTACCATGGCCAGTAAGGTTGTAGGCGTGTACAGACAAACTTCTCAAAAGTCTCTCCAGCTGTTAAAGCCGACTAACAGCTGAGAGCCGCCGTCATCAGAAACAGAGGTCGCTTCACGTGACGCGACTGAGGAAAGGACGTCTCATATCTCTTAAAAAAATATTTCCTTGTTTCCTCTCTCCTCGCATGGTTTCTTTGCGTCTCTACATACATCCCTGGTGGGAGGGACTAAGCCACAAGGAAAGGACGCAAGTGAGGGAAACAGGGATGCAATTAAGAGACTTAGGATGTCCAAGATAACAAACATGAAGTTATGATTTTCTAGTCATGATTCTTTGTTTCAATGCACCAACTCAAAAGTAACTAATCGCGTCAATAAGTCAACAAATGACAATAAAATTAAAAACTAAAAAGTTTGTTTTATTAACAGATTAGAAACACAAAATTGTTTGCATCTCCCATTCATGACTTTTTGTTTTGCTGCAAACACAGCCGACCCAAAGTCCTGATCCAAGTCCCCGAACCCCCCCCCCCACCCGCCTGCTTTAATGGAAACGGAACCAACATCCGAGCAAGAATCTGCACCACAGGGCATGTCGAGGTAAAGAACAGCGAGGACACCACCTCCAAGTTCAGCAGCTCATGACACTTTGAAGACATTGAGGTTGACCACCGTCCCAGACACACATTCAAGCTTCTTAAAAAAGGTAGTAATGGCAACATTAGAAAAAACATTTCAGTCATTTTAGTTTATCCAGCTGGATTGGAAAAAAAGGGTGTGTAGCAGATATGTGGAGTAACTCTTTCAATGTGAGGTCATCCTCGTCTTACAGCTCAGTTTAGAACTAGCTCAGTGCGCACACACACACACACACAGGCCACTTTATATACACTCTTGTTAACACAAATAGCTAATCAGCCAATCACATGGCAGCAGCTCAATGCATCTAGACGTGGTGAAGACGACTTGCTGAAGTTCAAAGCGAGCATCAGAATGGGGAAGAAAGGGGATTTAAGTGACTTTGAACGTGGCATGGTTGTTGGTGCCAGACGGGCTGGTCTGAGTATTTCAAACTGCTGATCTACTGGGATTTTCACACACAATCATCTCTGGGGTTTACAGAGAATGGTCCGAAAAAGAGAAGATATCCAGTGAGCGGCAGTTGTGTGGAGCAAAATGCCTTGTTGGTGTCAGAGGAGAATGGGCAGAGTGGTTGGAGATGATAGAAAGGCAACAGTAACTCAAATAACCACTCGTCAAATAACCACCAAGGTCTGCAGAATACCATCTCTGAACACACAACACGTGGAACCTTGAAGCAGACGGGCTACATCAGCAGAGACAACACCGGGTGTCACTCCTGTCAGCTAACAGGAAACTGAGGCTACAGGCTCACCAACATGTAACAGAAGATTGGAAAAACGGTCTGAGTCTTGATTGCAGCTGCCACATTCAGATGGTGGGGTCAGAATGTGTCGTAAACAACATGAAAGCATGGATCCATCCTGCCTTGTATCAACGGTTCAGGCTGGTGGTGTACTGGTGGGGGGGGGGATATTTTCTTGGCACACTTTGGGCCCCTTAGTACCAACTGAGCATGGTTTAAACACCACGGCCTACCTGAGTATTGTTGCTGAGCATGTCCATCCCTTTATGACCACAGTGGACCCATCTTCTGATGCTACCTCCAGCAGGATAATGCACCATGTCACAAAGCTCAAATCATCTAAAACTGCTTTCTTGAACATGACGATGAGTTCACTGTACTCCAATGGCCTCCACATCTCAATCCAATAGAGCACCTTTGGGATGTGGTGGAACGGGAGTTATCATGATTCAAGCAATAATTAGAACATTAAACTCAACATGAACTACAGGGGGTGAGTAATGCTGGACGTTTCACTCTAGGATACCAGCCGTCGTTCTCTATAGTTCACACGTTAGTAGAGGCTGCTGCTTCTAAAAGCCAGTAATCACAGTATGACCTCCCATTATACTAACAATATTTGACAGATTTGTAGTTAATGTTATGATTCATCAGATTAAAGATGCTTTTTATTCAAATTAACTGACTGTACGTCCAATAGTATTAAATACACCATTTGTAAATGAAGTGCTTCCACTTTTTGTCATGGTTTACAAACATAACTGCAAACTATGTGGCCAAATCCATTCTGGATTGGGATCCATTGAGGATCCTCTGAAGAACACCCCGTGCTGTGATGAAGACAGTTTAGTGGTGCTCTTCGTGTTAGGACAAATACTAACCTCACAACACAGTGTGGTCGATGATTCAGTGCATAAGTTCATGTCCAAACCAGAATATAAACAGAACTCGGCCTGGTCAAGTTTCCATATAGTTAGAATGTGGCCGAGTGCTGCATACACCTCCCTCTCCATCAGCATGGATGATCTTCCGTTGGACGTGAGAAGGTATTTTGTCTGGACCTGCATCTATAATCTTGGGCTTTATTTTGTTGAACTGCTTCTTCATGGTGTTTACGTGTCCGTTGCTTATAGAATCCATGAAAGACAAGAGAGATGAACAGCGCAGAAGAGGAAGGGGGGGGGGGGGGGGGGGGGGGGGGGGGGGGAGGGAGGGGGGGGGCAAGATGAGTAATCTCCAATCAGCTTCCAGCAGTTCAATAAACAAGGACATAAAGACCAAATTAAAGAAACCACTGAGTGAGAAAGAACTCAAATTTATACACAATCAATAAATAGTGATTTTTTTTTCC